ATTATTTGAATAATAAATTGAAATAAATAATTTATTAATTATATTATGTGAATAATATATTAATTAGAAATAGTAATATTTAATTAATAATTAATCAGAAATTAGTTGGAATTAATTTCGGGATTAATGGAATTAATGTAACACTTGAATTCATTGTACTTTTCAGTTTTGACCCTTGGGGTGTAATGTTTTGTAGAATTGGTCCCTAGGGGCAGAATTGTCAATTTCAGGAAATTTGGAGTACGTTGGGCGTACTAATGCATGTTGGTCATGGAGCTCATCCACGTACGTTAAGCATACGTGAGCAGCTTAGAAACCCTATTTTTAGGGTTTGTACCCTATATAAACCAAAAGATCTTCTCTTTTAACCTTGTTTGACCAGCCTCCATACATTTGAAAACCCTAGTTCGTCCCTTTGCCTTTGTGGTGCTTGAGAGCCATTTCTTTGATCATTGGTGGGTGTTATGCATCTTGAAATGGTAGAAGAAGAAGCTTGAAGACTCATTATTTGGAGGAGAGTCTTGAGATCCAACTTTAGCACCTTCATTTTGTGGCTTTTGAGGTATAAAGTTCAAAGTTTGTCATCTCATTTCATCGATCTATTCCTTGGCTCGCTTTTGGCTGTTTTTTGGTTGGTGCTCGTGAGTCATGGTCATTTATGGAGCTTATCCTTGTAGATATGGACATATTAAGGGTTTCTTAAGCATAAAGGTGCAAACTTTATGGTGGTTTTGGTCTCATGCATGTGTTAAGTCACTTATTAAGCTATTTTGAGCTCTAGAGCCCCATTAAGTCATGCATGCACGTAAAGTTGGCAATTTTAAGTGATAAACCACCTTAAGGAAGTCAGATATGAGTTTGGGTTGAAGTCTTAATCAAATAAGAGCTGAATGTTGGAAGTTGGCCATGTTGGTGTAGTACGTTGGACGTACAAGCAGGTACGCTGTGCGTACAAGCCCTAAAGCGAGTACGCTGAGCGTACGAGCTGAGTACGCCTCGCGTACTCAGCAGATTGGGATTCAGACTTTTGGGATCTCGGTTTTGGGGCCATGTTGGACTTCAGTTGTCTTAGGCCTTGTTGGGCCATCAGAATTCTATTGTTGGGTTGTCGACATTTTTGGACTCTTTTGGTTGAAGGCCCATGAAGGAGTTTGGGCCCAATTTAGAAAATTAGGGTCATAAATAGGCCTTAGATGATTATTTTGGAATTTAGGCTTTGTGGACAATTGGATTGGGCTTTGGCCTTGGGCCAATTTAGGGAAAGGGTAAAAGGTCTTATACCCTATATTGGACTCTTAGTGTGAGTCGGGATCCAATTATTAATTAGATGTTATTTTATGACTGATAGAGCGGGGATTTTAGCAGGCCAGCAGCCAGAGATTTATTTGTGAGATTCAACAGTCTGAGGTGAGTTTTTTCACCATATCTATGGGTCGAAGGCACTAATGTCGGCCCATTATTTGTTATTTGGAATGCTAGTTGTCTTTGTGATGCTTGCATGAAAGACCAGGATTTGGTCCATGGCAATTGTATGAAAGACCAAGATGTGGCCCCTGGCAATTGTATGAAAGACCAAGAACTGACCCCTGGCACTTATATGAAAGACCGGGATTTGGTCATCGGCATTGCAAAGGAAGACCATGATTTGGCCCATGACAGGAAATGATTTTAAGACTATGATTTGGCCCATAGCATTCACTTTCTCATGTATGGTATATGGTATTTTGAGGAACTCACTAAGCTTTGTGCTTACGTTTTTTTATGGTTACAGTTTTAGGTACTTTCGGTTCGAAGGGGAAGGGCCCGACTTAATGTAGCGCATTCACCCATGTTTTCCGCATCATGATGATTTTAGGATTATACTCTAATAATTGTTCTCTTATGAAAGTATTTTTGAATATTTGGATAAGCAGATATTGAATGTTGAGTTAAAGATAATTAATGTTTTATTTGAATTAAAAATAAAATTTTTACCTCATAATTTTGGGTCGTTACAAGTTGGTATCAGAGCCTTGATTTGAGGGATTCGAGCACACTCTCGAGTGTGATTGAACATAAACTAAGAAATTGGTAATTTTTCTTAAAAATAAAATGAGTTTTAAAAATATTTTTGTAAAAGGAAAGAAATTCTAAAAGGATTTTTGTAAAGACAAATGGGGTGTGATGTGTGCAATCGGCCGAGCTCAAGTAAATGATTCCCAAAATACCCATACATATTTGTTATGATTATATGTTATGAGAATGGCTTGCTAGGATGAGGTTAGGGATACTTTCAGGAATTGCATGATAGATTAGCCTGATATGTAATGCCTTGTAGCCTAGGGAGCATTGGATGTTATGCTAGATTGGGAATATGTATTGTTGTCAGTAATTGCTAAGTGTATGCTTTAAAAATTATATATGGTTAGGATCATATAGCCCTATAATGATTGATTTGGCCTTATTTCATGTTCCTTGTTTGGTTGTGGACCTAGGGTAGAGTCTTTTATTCGACAGTCTATGTGATCATGTATTGTGTGTAATTTGCATGCATAAGGCAACCGGCAGTGAGAGTGGACGTTCCTAGCATGAGTTGTAGTATGTGATTTTGAAGGTTCTTTGGTTATTCTATGGATTAGAGTGCTTACGCATGAATGTTGTTTGCTTTGTGCTTGGTGGAACTCTTAAGTGATGTGAGTTAGCTATTAGGTGAATATGTTAAGTCACATGTGACAAAGGTTGAATAATCTCAGAGTGATGGATTTGACCCTGTTGCACAGCTCTCGTTTGAGTCTAACCGCTATCTGAGCTTTGTTGCATGTGATTGTATTCATGAGGTAGTTAGCTGACATTATTGGGAGTTCCTCGGCAGCTGATGGCAGGGTGATGTTGGAAACCTAGGAAAGCCTAGGAAAGATCTGAAATAGGGCTCAAACCCTAAAAAGTAGGGTTTGCACCCTGTGTAATTACGCCCAACGTAATTTTGGTACGCCCAGAATACTAGGTGAAGTCTCGCGTTTCATTTAATGATGTACGCCATGCGTACTCCCCATGTATGCCCAACGTACTGCTAATTCCTCATTCCAATCTAAACTTCAAACGACCACAACTTCTTCGTTTCAACCCCGATTTCGGCGTTCTTTATATCCACGAAAAAGTTCTTGAAGAGCTCTACAACCATATCTTGTTAAATTTGGCTCAACACAAGTCAAACCTAGAACCATAATTCTTGCAAGTTGTCTGACACCTATCATTCCCTAATTTACCCTTGGTTCCCGCTCACGATTCAAGGGCTTAGATCTCACAACCAAACTTGTCAACCTTCAATAAGGCGTAAACTTTACTTTCTCAAAACCCTAAGGTCTTCACATAATCGATTTATGACCCACGAGTCCTAAATCACAAAATGATCCAAAACAGGGTTTTACACCAATCATCGCAGGATGGTAGTCCATACGAGCAATTCCTAGCTATCAGTGAAAGAAGGGACGACCAGAAACTATGTCAGCAACTTTGAAAAACTGGCAAGTCAACTACGGGGGCAATCAGAACAGGTCTTGGAAGGAACTTTCATTAAAGGGCTAGAACCGAAACTGAGATCATTAGTAAGGGTCATGCAAACTGAAGGCCTGGAACATGCAATGAGATTAGTGGTTATGATCGATGAAAATCGAGCCAACAAGGATAAGATAGAAAATTATGTGGAATTAGAAGATGATCCACAATTTCAGCAATATTCAACTACATAACCCAAATTTTCACCTTGAGACAAGGTGCTTGTTTGGGAGTGAGTAATGATACGACTCGCTGATTAGATCAAGATTATCAACTAATTAGTAATTATTAAATTATTTATTCAACCTAGTTAGTAGTTATCTTTATTTAAAATTAGGATATTTATTAGTATCTTTTAATTTAAGATATGATTATCTATTAACACTTATATATAGGGTTTGATACAGTCTTTGTGATTATGATGGAATATTATTATAGAATTTTTATTCTGTTTTGAAGAATCCATATATCTCGAATAAAAAGATCTATCAATATTTTTATAAAAAAAATAATTGTTGACGTTTGAAAAAAACATAATAGTAAAAATTAAAAAAAATACCAAATTAATAGTTTTTAAATTAACTAAATATAACAATACTTAAATAAGAAATTAAATATTCTCCTACATTTTCTTCCTACTCATCCTCCTACCATATCAAATGTTGACATGTGTCACATTTAATACCACATTTAATAAAATTAAGAGAAATTAAATAGTCTCCTATTTTTTGTTTCTAATATCCTTCTACATATATATATTTTAGATGGTGACAAATGTCATTAAATTTAATTTAAATTTGATTGAGATTTTGAATTTATATATTTGTCATCATCTTAAATAGGTAGAAAGAAACGTAGGAACAAAAGTTAGGATGATATAATTTAATCCACTTGTCATTTCATATGGGTATAAGGATAGTAGGAAGAAAAAGTAAGAGAATATTTAATTTCTTTACTTAAATAGAACTTTTTTTTACCTAAATTGCATACACTTTTGTTCATATGAAACTCGCGGATATAGATCGTTAAAATCATGTGGTTTAATGAAAATGTTATATTTAACGATATTTATTTGAATTTTATAACTAAGAATCCTGAACCATATCATTTGTCATATAGTTTAGAATACCGTTAACTTTTTATATTAAAAAATATTATTTCACAACTAATAAAAGTATTTATATCATGTTGATTTTATTTCTGCTAACGGCTAAACATACATCTAATTAGTTGTAGATAATTTAGGTACTGAAACACTATTCAACGACTTGAAATATACTACAATATTAATATATAACAAAGATCAAATACAAATAATAAACGTTGTACACATTATTTTTTTACTAACGTGACAATAGATTTAATGATTTATTTTTTAAGATGTCCGATCTCATAAATAATTTCGTAATTTAATTCATAAAATCGTTATATACATAATACATGCTTTTAGGGTGAATATATTATATATAAGGGAATTTGGGTTATTTAGCATGACTAACACGTAAAGCCTGTTCCGGTGACCTTATCTCTCTGCCTCCTTTTTCCGGAGGTAATAGGATGGGGAAAATGTTGCCGCCGGAGATGAAAATTGGCAAGAAATCGTTTCCTCCGATGTCAAAGTGCGATTTATCATCGGTCAGCCACCTCTCAATTGCTGCGGACCTCGACGGAACCCTACTGAAAGCGAGCCTTCCTTTTCTATACTACGTACTCCTCGCAATCGAAGCCGGCAGCCTTCTCCGCGGCCTAATTTTGATGCTATCTCTTCCGATCATTGCAATAGTGTGTATTTTCATCTCCGAAGATTTAGCCGGAAAGATACTGATATTCCTTGCATTCTTCGGGGTTAAGGTCAGCGACCTTGAGAACGCCTCGCGCGCCGTCCTGCCGTGGTTCTACGCGGTGGATGTGAGGAGCGACAGCTTCGAAGTGTTTGATAGTTGTCGGAGAAAGGTAGTTGTGACGGCAAACCCGACGGTGATGGTGGATGCATTCGCGCAGGAGTTTTTGGGAGCGGATAAGGTGCTTGGAACGGAGATCGAGGTGGATCCGTGGACGGAAAGAGCTACCGGATTTGTGAAAGCGCCTGGTATTTTGGTCGGAAAATTGAAGAAGATGGCTGTTCAAAAGGAGTTTGGAGAAGATATGCCTGATATCGGACTCGGTGATCGGAAATCTGACCACGATTTCATGTCCATTTGCAAGGTTAGAGTCCCTCTTAATTTCTTGTTTCAAAAACATCTTAGAAAAGTTCCTATATTGATCCAACATAAAAAAAAAATTCCTTCACAGTGAAAACCCATGAAACAGAATAGATTAAGGTATTATAACAAGTTATAAATTACACAATATAATTTAAAATACTAAAACATAAAACGTTTTAGGAACAGGAGGATTTGGGTATCGATATTTAATTGTTGGTTCTATTATTTTATTTAAACTTTTCAAGCACTCCCTTTCTATCACATAAAGGATATAACCAACATGTTCAAAATATATATATATATATATATATATATATATATATATATATATATATATCAAAATTAATCTTGAGAACAATTTTTAGTTGCTGAAATATCTTTAATATTTAATACTACATCACAAATCTTTTCAAGATGTCATTTTCTAGGTTCTTAGTTGATCGAGAACAATTTTTAGTTGCTAAAATATCTTTAATATTTAATACTACATCCTTGATCGAGAACAATTTTTAGTGCTAAAATATCTTTAATATTTAATACTACATCACAAATCTTTTTCAAGATGTCATTTTCTAGGCTCTTAGAGCAACTCCAACCATTCCACTAAAAATATCACTAAATTGGTGTATTTTTAACAGCAGAACTTTTTTCTACTCCAACCATACACTAAAATTTTACACTAAAAACATATTTTCATATTATAATATAGAATAGAATAATTATTAAAGTTGTAAAAGTTATAAAACTAACCAAAATAGTATTAAACAATTAAAAAAGATGTTTTTGTGTGATGAATAGTGTTACACCAAATATAGAGGCCACTATTCAATCCCACCATTTTTGTGTTGAGTTTAGTGGTCCATTGGAACACATTTTCACACCAAAACACTATTTTTGTGTATCCATTGGAGTTGGTCTTAGTTGATCATAGTAGTTATATATAAAAGCGGAAATCTCCTTGGGATCTATTATGGTGCGTATCCAATCCAACAGTTGTATCATATTTTTAGCCGACACAATACGATATAATTATTTTTATATAACACGAACACTGAACACAAAACGACACGATTTGTTTTACTAACACAACGACAACACAGTGAAAACACGCTAAAAACGACCAAAACGACAAACACAAAAAGGATAAAATAAAATAAACTTTTAGTTAATTTAATTCAAATTTAATCTTACAAAACACAATAAACACATATTACTATCGTATCGATCTCGTGTTGAATCTTGAACACGATATGATGTCATGGTTTTTACACTCGATGTGAACATTGATTTGAATTTCAGTTCCGTCTCAATTTTGTTTTGTGTCGCGTATTTTTGTCGTGTCATGTCATGAATTGTCACCCCGATGAATTGTAAATTTTGCCGGTTGTAAAAAATTAAAATTAACTGGTTGTACTCAACCACTCACAATAAGTTATCTATTTTATGTAAACTAAAACATTTATAAAAGCATGAAAATTCTATTTACTTTATTTTTATAAAACCCCTAATTCATTCGAAGCCAACCTCTTTTCCCTTAATTTGAGTTGAAATTTTTGAAAGGTTAATGTCATAGCAACTCAACCAACTATTATGTTTAGGGCCTAAACTGCAAACATGTCTTTTTCGTGTCGGGTTGAAACTTAAACAGGTCAAAATAGATCTATGTAATTATTTTTCAACTCGGTTATTTTCGTGTTGAGTTCATGTTGGGTTGATGAGTTTAAGGTTTGAATCTTGTAAATATATCATGTCGTGCTAGATTGAAATACTAAATATGATGAAAGAGTAGCAGATGGAAAAGTGGAAAAGAAAAAATGAAAAACAAGTGGAAAAGAAAAAGTGAAAACATGAACTATTACTTTGGAGGCAAGAGAGGGTGGAATTCACAATAAATATAGAGAAGGAAGTCATGTTGAAGGGGAAACCGGGTAGACTATGAAATATTAATGAAGAAGTGAGAAATAAAAAATAAGTATTGACTGAGGTAGCTAATTAATGGTTTCACGTTACAAAATGAATCAAACTAAAGTTTTTTGATACATTTAGTTTTGATTTTTGGTATGCTCAGTTTACCTAAAAATTTAAAAAAAAATTGCATATAAATAAATGTGTCATTTTGTATTGAAAGTTTGAAACCTAACTTTACGAGTTTAATTCTTATGTTGTGTCTATACGTAAAATTAAACGGATTGAAATATGTTAATTACCCAAACCCTTTTATTTACGTAATGGGGTTGTGTTGTGTTTCCTATCGTGCCAAGAATTACCATAGCTAATTACATTTACACTCATTTGGCCCTTAATCTTTTTCTTTTACATTTACCATTTTTAATTGCATTTGTGCTCAAAATCGTATTGTGGTAATTATTTATGATATTTTGGAGATTTCAAAAGTTATGGAGCTAACATGATTAGACAAATAAAAAAATGAGCCGCTAGAAGGGCACCAACGCGGCCTGTTTTGATTTTTTTTTATAAGACTAATAGTATGACTGTATGAGAGAAGACACAATCCATGTAACCATGTTTGTCTCCAACATTTTCACCGACGAAAACTTGCCGCTCAATATTGTTGCCGATGTTTGTGGCTTTTGCGAGGTGGTGTTTGCCGCCGGCAATGTTGCCCTCGTCGTTTTTTCCTGACAGCAATTCATACCTCATACGGTTTATGCTAAACTGAAAAAGTTAAATTTATTAAAATTTAATTCTATAGAAAAATGGGCATAATAATATATATAATTTTTTTTTTAAATTACTTATAAAACATAGAAAATAAAATTGTCTCCAAATGTCATGAAACACTAAGTGAGTTTGGAATTAAAATTGAAAATAAATTTTCGTATTTTAATTTAAACAATATTAGTTTTTATGAAATAAAACTGAATTTTTTCGTCTTTAAAATAAAGAAAAGTTAAGGGGCTCTTTATAAAAAATTCAAGTTTTTATAAAAAATTATTGGATAGGAAAAAAAATTCTCTAAATCAAAAAATCTCACTAAACTTTCGAATTTTTAAAAATTTTGCAAGATTATAAATATTTTTAAAAAATAATATTAAAAAATAAGATGATTTAAAAAATATATGATTCATCATGTTTATGATAATTAATTTACTACTTATTATACAAAACTTGTTATGAGATATGTTCCAAAAGAACATTATTTCCTAATGAAGATGGATGTGTCGTCCTTTCCTTTCCTGGCATGTTGCAGTTTAAGCAAAGTATAGTACTAGAATCTCAACTTTTGAGGTCGTTAAAGTGGTTTTCCATATGGAAGTATTCAATAAAGACTCCACCCAAAGACACGCCCCACATTATCATAATGGTTTTTCGATAGATAATGCCCCAAATCCTTTTTCCCCTAACCATGGATCATCATAATATACCTCCAAGAACAAATCCAAGCTCTTACCATTCTTGAGGAGGTTAATAAACTCATTGCGGACGACACATTTAGAAACCATTGTATTCTAGATTAAAAAAATCTTTCTATCAATTCTTTTGAAAAATCAATGGCCTATTCATGAAAGAATTTCGGTTTGACTGTAATTATCTATTCTAAAATGTATTCCACATTATTTTTAGGTTCCCCAAAGGAACTCTTATCGTTTTTTGGTATTCCTTCGAAAACTATACCATAAATATCTCATTTAATGCTGTGAAACTTATCACCTATGCTTTTCATTAACGCCGACAAAAAAATTGTTTACCCTACTCCAATGGTATTGTCTTGTCCTTCAATGGACAAGTCACTTGAACATATGTCAAAAAACATATATTGTCATTATTTTCGGACATCCTATCACCCACCTACCTAGGTAGGATACAATAACATCTTTACAAATGCTCTTTAACCTATCAACCAAAATACTATCACGATTTTCCCTCATCTCATGTATGACTTTTGGATGTTATCATGACTAAATCTTAAGGGGTGTTTGAGATTGCTTATTTAAATAGCTTATGCTTTTTTTTATAAAAATGTTTATTAGCTTATCCGGCGTGAAAATAGAGTTTAGGGAAAAAAAATGTTTAGATTAGTTTATACGATACCAAACAACATCTAGATATTTCAAACTCCAAATAAAATAGGAAAGTATATAAAACAAGTTTTGCATTCACGATATAGTCTAATTGTTGAGAAGTAAAATTACACATATTAGGTCTACTGTTCAATCCTCAAACATTGATACGTCCAAAATATCGCTAGCGATCTACAATTAACCTCGCACATGGGTCTACTGTTCAATCCTCAAACATTGATACATGGGTCTTAAGTGGATTGATGCGAACCGCTCAGATGATACGGATTACCATTTTTTAAACCTCTTAATTAATAACATACCGACTTGTTATAAATTATTTTAATATATTTTTTATTTAGTAAAATTGTTTTTTAGTTTTATTTTCTTTCTATTTGATTTTATATTTCTTTTTGAACAGCCTGAAAAAAAAAAGATGCTTGGGCCAAAATTACAAAGAGTAATCTAACAATGTGTTTAATAACCACTTGGACCGATTAACTTTAGCATTTTTACATCTACTGGTGAACCAATCAAATTAAGTAAGAACAATTTTATCAAGCAAATCAAATGTAATTATTTTTATTTAACTTTCTTAAACCTATAAAGCAAATCAAATTTATCAAACAAATCATATACTAATTATTTTTAATTTAACTTTCTGTTTAAATCTATAAAGCAAATCAAATTTATAAAATGTATGATAAGAAGTAATATTACAAAAATATATATTTTACTGGTATTAGAAAAATATAAAAAGTAATACTTTATTTTAATGTTTGTTATAAACATACTAAAATATTATAAAATAATTATGATTTATAATTTTAACTCGTTTGGTGTATTCTATGAGTTTCATTTGCTGTATATGTTTAAATAAATTCATGAAGTTCGATTAAAAAAAAAAACAGTTGTCGAAATACAACGAAACTGAAAGTATAAGCAAATAACACAGATATTCAATTAAAAAAAACATTTTGAATATGTAATATCATACATTACTAGCCAACAGGTTTGGGTTTCAATTTTCAAAACCTTTTGCCTCAAATCATGGCTATGGATGTTACCACACCTGATGGCCTTACAATATCTCTATGTTGATTTGGAATTTTATTGCCACATCATTGGTTGAAATTGAATGCCACAAAAACAAAAGGTCGATATCAATCAACATATCAAAAATCGAGTGGGCAATAATCAGAATGTTATTTTTTTTAAGCCATCGAAAGAACACGGGTCAAATAATATGGTCAAACCTTATCCGGATAAGCCTCAATTGGGTGGACTTCGATCATACTGTCCAAGCCCTACTCAATTGGGCCAAATTTCTCATTTTGGTTCGTTCTAACTTCTAATCTTAAATCTATGGCTACGAGTTAATTGATTTTTTTTTCTTTTTTTTTTTTTTTTTTTTTTTTGTGAAGGAGGGCTACATGGTGCCAAGAGACCATTCTGCAAGCATAGTATCACCATACCGTCTAAAAAACAAAATGATCTTCCAGCTCAACCACAACCACAACCAGAATGACTATCCACTCCAACAACCAAGAAACGCTCTAATCACCACCTACATTCGACTGCCATTCACATTCATCCATTCATTCGTCAGTCTCTACTTCAATCTTTCACTACTTAAAGCAATCATAAGATCCGCAATTTATTAAGTATGTTATACTCATATATATGTAAACCGAATAATTATTGTAATAAAAGAAAAAGGTTTAATTGTCTTGTATTAACATCAAATATAGCAGCAACAAGGGCAAACATGGAAATTGAAAATACTGTTGATTCTAATCAACGGTGGTAACCTGTTGCCATTCTCCATCAACAGCTTCTTTCCACATGGTGACATTATTATCCCCAGCAGCCACAGCCAAAAGATTACCGGTTAATGACCAAGTTACCCTCCAAACCGGAACCTTAAAATCAAACAAAACCTTCCCATTCCAATTATCACCTTCTTTCCCCACAGTCCATATCACAACAGTCCCATCCTCAGAACAACTTGCAATAGTCGATTTCGGAAGCCCCAAATTCGGGGCCCACGCAACACCCCGAACCCAATCCGTATGCATTTGTAAAGCCGGAAAACAGTCCATTCTCCAACCCCCGTTGGATAACTTCCATACCTTCACCGTGTTATCGCACCCCCCAGAAGCCAGCTTTTGAACCGGTTCAAAACTACCCGACCCGACCAAAGCCCCGGGAGCCATCGACGGGGCCCACGAAACCGACGTCACTCCAACCGGGTGAGCCTGGTCGATCCGTGTGGTGTCCCACCCGCCATCTGACCTGGCGGTGTGAACCGTGATGTTCCCGTCAGACGACCCGCACGCCAAACATAACCCGAGCTCGTGTGGGGCCCACGCGATGGAGTTGACTGAGGATTTATGGTCGGTGAAAGTGTGGACTTGGGTCCATTCGTTTGGGTTGCTTTCTTTCCAGAGGATGACGGTTGCATCGTAGGAACAGGATGCCAGGAGGGACCCGAACTTTGGGTGGGCCCACGCCACTTGCCAGACTGGACCGTTGTGACCGGTTAAAGTAGTGAGGTGTTGGGAAGTGGAGTTGTTGGTGACACCGATTATTTTGATGGTGGAATCGGAGGATGCAGATGCTACTCGTTTTCCGTAATAGTCCATGCACACATCATGGACAGTGTCTGTGTGACCCGTTTCGATTTTTTGTGCAGGCATGTTACAAGATAGCCTTAACCTTAACCAACCTCCTGCACTTTAAAAATAAACATTTAACACGGACCTACATTAAAAAAAAATGACTTTTGATAAAACTAGCTCAAATATGTCAAATCACATAAAAGGGTATGTTGAAACGCTAGTCTGAGTAGCTTTTTAAAGAAGCTAGCTTATAAACTACTTTGTGGTTTGCCAAACATGACAACCTAAAAAAGCTCGAAAAATAAGCTAGCTGTAGCGTGCTAAACATAGCCTAAGAAGTTTCTCGAGAAGCAAAAATAACTGTAAACTATGGAATGATTGAATTTTTAACAATTTATGTACTAACACTCACCTTGGTCCAGTTAAAACTTGTATGTCTTGCATCATTGGATTATTAGTTATGATTATGAATATGGTGTTCTACTATTGTTTGGTTTGATAGAGTACAACAGCAACTTTGAATTTTGTAATGCAATAGAATATGGATTGGAAAAACAAGGAGGATATCAAAAACTTGTTGCAAATGATGTTATACATGAACCATGGTATTGATTTTTTGATGCCTTATCAGTATTTTTGAATAACGAATGAGAAGAATGGATATTGTTTGGTATCTAGACATTGTTTGTGGTTATTTTGTACAATTCTTTTTTGCTGGTAGATAAGTTGGTGTTGTGAGGAGGTGCACAATACACACCATGAGAACCATGGAAGAGAAAATCAATGGCAACCACTAATATTAGCATCAAGCTTACTATTTTTCTTTAGTTTTCTACAAGAGTCTAATGAATCTTCAAAACTTGCATTCTAGGTTATAGACTACTAAGTTTTGAACATCAAATGTGATAAGAATAAGAGTTGTTTCATAATCCATATAACTGCATTTCAACTTACTAACAGACAAAGCAAATAGGGATATTTGCATATTGTTTCAAATAACATATAACTACGCCCTGAAATCGAAGAAAATAGAGTAAATGAACATCACCTACAAGCAAGTGTATCAATTATTACCTACAAGAACACTATCAATTGCTGAATCCACAACAAAATATGATGTAATGGAATTGTGGAGAGCTATGGTTGAGATTTTATTGTATGAATGTTAATCTCATATGTTTACACCCCCAGCCAGAAATTCATGGAGGACACATGATCTCATATTCTCAACTCGACTTGAACAAGTTACTAGGGCAAAAAGGAAACGGAAACGCAATAGAGGTGGATAGAAATGAAATTCATGTATCAACAACAAATTAATACCTAATAACAATATATGACCAAACAGGACACAGATACCAGGTAGACGATCAGACAAAGATGTAGGAAAATATACAATTATACAGGAATGCACATACAATCAGTAGAAGATCAGAGAGGAAACAGATCAGAAGACCAAATCTAGAGATTATCAACGAGGGGAAACTAATAGAATTCTTCAAAGCACATAAAAAATCAATTAAACTAAAACAAACAGAATCCGAATAGAATAAACAAACATAGACCGAAAGCACAAATCATCAGCGATTACATGCCTAAAAGGATTCTATTCTGAAGAAACAAACATCAATCAATCATATAAGAATTATTATCGACAAACTAATTATCACGCCTCAGTAATTAAACGAACGTACTTACAGCAGAGGCAGAAAGCTCTAGATGTGGAGATCAGAGATGGTGAGACAGTAGCTTCGGCGCCAGAGATTTCAAACAGCAGAGCCACAAAGAACTAAATTTGTTAAGCGGACGAGTGAAAGAGTAGTTTTCGCTGTGACGATCTTATATGGATTAACAGTAGAGGCAGAATAATGTAGATGTGGATTTCCGATGTCGGAGATGGTGAGAGTACCTCCGCCGAGGTTAGGGTTACATGGACCGATGGATGTGCTTTTCCGTTTTTCAAAGATGTTGTAGTTTTTAGAGTGAAGGGAAAATGACTTATTATATGGTAACTATGTTTCCAAATCGTTCAAAAAATATCATTCAAGTGCGTCCAAAAAACACCATCCAAGTAAAGCATTTGTATAAAAAAACACCAACGAAGTACATTCTTTGTTCAAATTTGACCTTTGGTAACCGGCAATTACCGGTAAAAAATAAGTAAAGGAAAAAAAACAATAGGAAATGACTCAAAGAGGTAACTATGTTTCAAAATCGTTCAAAAAACACCATCCAAGTTTGGTATGTTCAAAAAAGACCATCCAAGTAAACTTTTTGTACAAAAAACACCAACAAACTATATGTTTTGTTCAAATATTACCCACCGGTAATTGGTTCTTACAGATTAAATGATAACTTGGCTTAACTATTATGACATGACATAATAATGATTGACAAAACAATAAATGATATATTCCTCCTTTAAAAACCGATTTAGGGTTTCTTCATGAACGAATGACTTCTTCTTCTCCTATGAAGCCTCTGCGATCTGGATTTTATGCAAGTACGCCCGGCGTACTCCTATGTACGCCCATCGTACTCGGCTAGGCTCAAGAACCACCAATCTTCCGAAGGCCATAACCCTCGGTATGGCTGTCTGATGCCTAAATTAGCTCTCGTAGATATAAAGAATGACGAAATCACACTTAGAATGAAGAAGTTATGGCCTTCGGAAGATTTGACAGTTCTTGACCCTAGCCGAGTACGTTGGGCGTACGCTAGGAGTACGCCGGGCGTACTGGCTCGACATCCGGATATGATGGGACTATGCACAGACTTGTTTAAGTTAGGCCTCGGGCCCACCTGATTTTAGCAGGTCATTTTTTGGCTAAGGCCATGTTGGGGGTTCTTGGGCCATATTAGGCTTTAGATGCCTGTAGTTGGGCTTGGATGCCTTTTTGGGCTTTTTATGGATTTGGGCCTTAGGGGGAGGGAGGTCCATTGAGGCAGGGGTAAAGGAGCCCTTTTTGCCTTAAGTTAAGAATTAGGGTTTTGGACTTGAGTTCGAGATCATCACTTTAGAAGAAGACGAGCAATCATAGGAGAAGAATAAGTCATTCGTTCATGAAGAAACCCTAAATCGGTTTTTAAAGGAGGAATATATCATTTATTGTTTTGTCAATCATTATTATGTCATGTCATAATAGTTAAGCCAAGTTATCATTTAATCTGTAAGAACCAATTACCGGTGGGTAATATTTGAACAAAACATATAGTTTGTTGGTGTTTTTTGTAAAAAAAGTTTACTTGGATGGTGTTTTTTGAACATACCAAACTTGGATGGTGTTTTTTGAACGATTTTAAAACATAGTTACCTCTTTGAGTCATTTTCCTATTGTTTTTTTCCTTTACTTATTTTTTACCGGTAATTGCCGGTTACCAAAGCTCAAATTTGAACAAATAATGTACTCCGTTGGTGTTTTTTGTACAAATGTTTTACTTGGATGGTGTTTTTTGGACACACCAAACTTGAATGGTATTTTTTGAACGATTTTGAAACATAGTTACCCATATAAGTCATTTTCCCATTTACATAAATGATTCCTGTAGTTTGGTCAGAAATATATGTTTGGTCCAATCTTTTAAAATTGATAGTTCACATTTCTATGGTTTCAAACAATTATATGTCATTTTTGGCTAACTGTGTTAGAAAAGTCTGGTTCATATGTGTAAAATGACCAATCGACTCCTAATTTTATACTTTTCTTATTATTTTATTACTTTTATTAATTTTAATAACTAAATGAAAAATCTATCTGACCATCACCACCACCAAAAACTACCGGACAAGGTTGTCAAGATCGGGATCCTACGTAGGATCGTTTTTGGGTTTGCAAGATCGGAATCGGGATCCTAAGATCCCACAAAATAAAATATAATTTTAATTTATAATTTTTAATAATGAAAAATAGTTCAAACATTCAATTCTTCGTTCAAAAGTTATAAAAACTTCAAAATATTAGTCGCAACACAAAATGATAAATGCTAAATTGGTAAAGGTAAAAGACATAAAGTGGTAAAAAAAAATTCATTTGCAAAAAAAA